CGGTCACTTATGGAGTATGTTACTGATGACTGGTAAATGAAAACATGGTAATAAGAAAATAACGGGACACAATCAAAATCTCCGATGAAGCGCATCCTCATAAAGCATAATGCTCCCGGCAAATAATCCTACTTGTAACCTATTAATTAAACACATGTTTTACGAAGACAACTAAAGCACAATGCATGAGAGCTACTGGTACTACCACGTTGGCCAAACCGTATTAGTTGAAGCGGGGTTCAAATATACAACCTGCAGGCTGGAACCCAATAGCTTCGACCACAGAGCCTAAGCCCTATAAGGAAAATAACTAATTAGAATATGATAGTAAACTGCTCTCTCCAAGAGAACATATGCTAAATCAACCACGGAGAGGCAACACTGAATAAAAATATTACATAAAGCGAAGGTAAATATTACAGAGCCTTCTTGATTCATGACTTTCATATATTTTAGATGGTGGAGAACAGTAACCAATCAGATTCAATATCGACAGGATAAGCCGCTAGTTACTTTCGGAGAGATCCTAATAGGTAACTTCATTCTATAGTATTTCATGATTTCCTCTAGAAATACGATGAAAACTTAACAATCGAACCACTTAGTTCATGGCACACAGCTTTAACAGGATTATACATACATACTTTATTTATGGTTGCAAATGTAGAGGTCAATCATTCATAATGGTCAAATACAGCTAATTATGTTTACTTCCACAAAATCCGAACTTTGTAGTTATAAATAATAAGGTCAAAACTAACAACCTACTAGCAACCTTTAACAGTACATCAAACAATCATTTTCATAAAGGAAGAAAATTGCGAAACATCCTTTCTATACGTCTTGTCAACGAAAACCGACGCGACAAAAAAAGGAAATGTTCATTGTAAGTCGGCTACATAAACACAACGTACACACTTTTCAGCTTGTATCTCATTACAATATATGTGAAATCTAGTCAAATGTTCGGATGAAACAGTTAAAATAACATGCTCTGATGATATCCTTAAAGAAGAATCACAACTTATCCATGTTTACCAAACAAGGATACACATATTCATCAAAGTTCCTGACAAAACAGAGACTGAAGATGAAATAAAATCACCGACAACACCAAACATACCTTTATTCCCGAAGTTAGTTTAAACTTGATATAGTAGGTGGAATAATTATTTGACATACAAGAAAAACCACAGAGCATTCATTCGATGTAACAAGATCATCCGTTTCCTCTTCCAGTCAACTGATATTGTGTTTACGGAATAAGAATAAACTAACTAGTTTCACAGGCTCCGCCTCATATTAACAAATTCAGCAGCTGCTATGGGGCCAGGTATATTGTATGTATAACCAGACGAATACATTATCGTATTTCTGGAAATCACCGTTTGTGGTTGGCCAAATGACTAAAAAACCAACCGGAAGTTCTATTCTAAAACACTGCTTGATATTTGGTCACTATACGAGTATAAATTCAGCCGTTGAAGTTATCTGCGGATCCCTCTCAAAATTACCCCATGCTTCCAGAATCTGGTTACACACACCGCAGAAGTCATCGGAATACACATCAATAAATCTAGCCTTTGTATACAAAAAGCGTTTGTATGGCCTCTTGATTTACCATGACCTACACACTCGCTACTAAATTTATCCAGACCCTTTAATTTTGTTTTCTAATTCTCTTCTTACATGATCTGATAATCCAATTTTCTTCTCACCTATCCCATTAATTACTTATTATTAATTCTATTAGTAACACCAAACATTTACATTCAACTATTTAATTTCAAGTTTACTCAGTTCCTAGTTTTACTGTTATGTAAATAGTCGTGATAATTAACCGACTATGTAATTTCACTTTAGTATTGACTCTTGTTATCTGTTGTGTACCTTACCGATTACTAATAATATATGTAGCTAAACTGATCCATCCCCATTCAATCGGTATTAATTTTGTACTACTTGGTTGCAAAACTAATTAAAGAGGGACATTTCTGCACCCAACTCACATTTCTAATATTGCAGTGTGAATTATTAATACACACATTATTAAACTGCAGTATTCCCGAAGTTATTAAATACACTAGAGGTAAATTGTCACATTAGCACGAGTTAAATTGAAAAGATGGGGAGGCGAAATAATATCGACAGCAATGGAACGCTTAACCTCAAGCAATATCGTTTCGGTGATTTCTCTATACGCGAGCAACACAGTGAAGCTTCCATCTTACGGCGTAACATAATAACGATAAACACTTACTGTTAAGTAATTATCACCTTTAACACGGTATAAAGATAAATGTACAACCTGGCACGATTATGTAACAACCCTGCCTGGAGCACCTCTGGGGTTACTGACGGTTAGTGAGTCAGCTACAACGTAGGACCAGGTACATATATGCATCGGTCCAAGTTGCCATACATTGTCACAACAAAATGAACACCGAATTCATAGTAGTTAATTCAATGGTGGTAATACATAAAAGAAAGATTGCATATAAGGACATAGTAAAAGAAGAAAGAATTAGTTCGTAGAAACAAAGGCGAGACTCTAATTTATGGACGAGCCAATCAGAGGCGTTTGAAGGATTTCAGGGTTACAGCGCCAACTTCAGTGCTTAATGCTAACGTACGATGGGTTCACAAGGAATTTTGTAAAAAACGTGATAATTGAGCGGCTATAACAAGTAAAACGACGAGGCTATAATTTGTGGACGAATCAATAAGGTATAAGATAACAGATCTCGGGTTTGGGCACGAGAGCCTTTCATTCATTCGGCTAAATAGATTTCCGGCATTATAGCTGATGTCAGTTCGTGATGAAAACCCCATATATAATTCCTAACTAAAGCAAATTACGACAATTATCGCGAACCAGATAATAAAAGTACCAGTAACACTGGCTGCAGCCAGGTACTACAATATATAAGGATGATTGGAGAGCCTACAGACTCCTATATAGGCTTGGTTATGTGCATCGTGTCGTTATCCTCAAGTAGAATTTTGTTTACTCAACAACCGAAGTGCACATGAACAATATTGAAACTATGTGGTCGAGGCTGAAAGAGTTTTTGAGACTTTATCACGGCTCCGGAGGCCAACTATTCTGTAGCCGTATGAATGATTTCCTCTACTGCATGCATCACGATTTTAGAACCTCTGGACCTCTTTCTAACCTTGACAAGTTTTTGAACCACGTATAAGAAGTGTATCCACTTTATTTCCTTGGTTTTGTATAACATATTTTTACTCTATACTGACTGTTTGCTGATTGGCTAATATTTCTCAAGATCGCTTAAGATTCGTTCAAAGGTTGTCCATAAATTAGTCTCGCCGAAACAAAAATATAAAGCAATTTTAATCTCATAGTTTAAAGGAACACAAAGAGTGTATACACCTACGCCATTGTGATCGATTCTGAGCCATGTCATCCAGAGTCTCCAACCATTCGTTATGATAGTCAAGCGGGATATCATGGGCAGGACAACACCACGGAGGCTTTTCGACACTATGGCATGCCTGAGAAGATAGTCAACATCATACGAATTCCTATGATGGGTTAAAATGCAAAACCGTGCATGGAGGACAGTTGACATTCTCGTTCGAAGTAAAGACCGGTGTCAGGCAAGGTTTCACAATCTCACCCTTTCTCCTGGTGATCGACTGGATTATGGAGGCGTCAACATCTGGGGGAAGCACGAAATACAGTGGACAGCTAGACGACATAGACTTCGCAATGATCTGGCGCTTCTATCGCACACGCAAGAACAAATGCAGGTTAGAACGACCAGTATAGCAGCAGTAGGTCTCAATATACACAAAGGGAAAATCAAGATTCTTCGATGCAGCACAACATGCACCAATCGAATCACACTTGACTGAGGTTTGGAGGATGTGAAAACCTTTACATATCTGGGCAGCATCATTGATGAACACGGTGGATCTGAAGGCGCGGATTATTAAAACAAGAGGTGCGTCTCTACAATTGAAGAACATCTGGAACTCAAAACAACTGTCAACCAACACCATAGTTAGAACTCTCAATACAATTTTTAAGACAGTTCTACTGTATGGGGCGGAAACTTGGAGAACTACAAAGGCAATCATCCAGAAGATACAATTGTTTATTAACAGTCGTCTGCGCAAAATACTTCAGATCCATTGGCCAGACACTATCAGCAACAACCTACTGTGGGAGAGCAAACCAGATCCCAGAGAAGAAAGCGTTGGAAGTGGATAGGACACACATTGAGGAAAGCACCCAACTACGTCACAGGGCAGCTCTCACTTGGAATACTCAAGGCCAAAAGAGGAGAGAAAGACCAAAGAACACATTACACCGAGAAATGGAGAGACATAAGAATGAACAACAATGGGATAGAACTAGAAAGGAAGGCACAGGACAGAGTGGGTTTGAGAATGCTGGTCGGCGGCCTATGCTCAACTGGGAGTAACAGGCGTATGTATATAAGTGAAGTAAGTGCGATTATGTAACAACCCATTTTTCCATATTTAAAAAATGTAGGATAAAGTGAATAGTAAAAAAACGATACTAATTTAAGGCGTTAAAAAGTAGGAAATGAACTATATACAATTGATAAGAAAATAATTGGATTTGCAGAACGTAACATATTTCTTAATTTAAACTATCCATTCATCTATCACTACTATTGTGATAAACGACACCCAAAAGATTACTTGTAAGTAGTGTGTAGCGGAACGTGACTTCGAATCTGTCAGTCGTCAGACGTAGAAAAGATTTTCAGTACATCAAAAGCATGGCGTAGGTAAAACAATTGAAGATCAGACGAGAAGACATTTCGGACTGTATAACACACAGCAACATGCTAATGGATCATCGAAGGCTATATAAACGCATTATGCAAGCGTTTTGTGATCTCTCACAATAAATATTCATTCCATCTGCCTATCTTGCCTTTTTCTACACTCAGTAATGAGACTATTTTAAACAAACCCAGGATAGAACCACACTATTCATTACCAAAAACTAATTTATTGCTAGTAAAGTAAAATATTTACTCGAGATTAATTGCACCATACTTACATAACAGTTAAAAGTATGCATACACATATATTATTATAGTACAGTCTTTACAAAGAGTCACTGAAAACTTTGTCAATAGATGACTTTTTTTCAGTCCCTCACATAAACATTTATATATGATTACTGAGAGGACTTCTGTTGTTGTTGCTGCCTTAATTGTTTCTGCCACTGAGCTGCAAATCCTGCAAACTGACCACTACTTAGTAACTGATGAAGACGTTCCACTTCGTCCATAGTTCGCGCACGTTTAATTGCTTCCTGTATTGCAAATAGATCTTGACTTGATGCAACTGAAATTGAACAAACAAAATATAATAGTAAATAGAAAGACCATACAAAATATAACACAAGAGGTGAATGTCATATGGAAAAACTGTGATAGCAATAAGGAAGCTGAAATCGAGAAGTCCTATAACAGTTTATGGATAATCTAACATAAAATAGTCATGTTTATCGCCATGTATTACAAATCCGTATAATTAGTAAAACAAGTAACACTAAATAAGAACTTCCGTCTGAAGAGGGAGGTTGATTATGAATACAGTGGTCTTGAGTGTTGTTAGAGGTATGAGGGCGGTTATCACTTCCCAGTTGCCTACACCGTGGAAGGGTTCTTCTGGAGGTACCTGAAAAGGAAACCGGATTAGAGGTGGCCTTAGTGAACTGGGAGCGTGACCGCAGTGCTCAAGGGACAACTGCTTGAGGTCGGTCACATACGACCTTTTCATGGGTAATTTTCGTGTTAGTTCCGTACTTGTTGAGACCTTACCGCCGGAGACGGATATCTGTGGGATAAGGCGAGGTGTGCATTTTTAGGGTCGACCTTTTCTAACCCGACCCCTCCTTGTGAGAAGACAGCATCGCTGTCATGCTGGTTGTCTGAAGGAAGCACCTTACTGCTGTCACACCTCTGTACAGTCAGCAGTACGACTTCGCCTTCGGACCTTAGATGTGTTGCTTTTAGTCTTACCGCTCTTCAACCGACCTGTCTGACATAATAGGACCTTGAGGAACGGTTGTTCCAGCCAGCATAGCTCGGTTGCTTCATTACGATAGGCAAGTCCGACCACCACGTCAAGGTAGCAACAACGGTCGGGGAACTTTCGCCTAAATTTGATCGAATAGTTTTACAGTATTTGGGTGCCGAGTTAATTTGAGACATTAAAGAGGAAGAATGTATTTGTAAAATCTCAGCAAAAGAATTTGAAGCAAATCCAACGTTTCACCTGGCAATCTGGTCCAAGCTATTTCAAGGAAATATAATTAAACATCAAAATTATCGAAAATAAATAGGTACATGGTTATCCGGTTTACTGTATACTGAATAAATCATCCAATCAACGTGAACAATGTTTAAAGTAGGTATTTACATTAGTGTGCATAAGAGACATGTGGTGTGAAACGAAAAATGTTAAGATAACAGATTGTGTGTATACGTAAGTTAGAAGAAATTTCATTCACTATATATTGTCTTCGGTCGGTGAATATTAAGAACATATATATAAACCGTGATTTTCTGGTATTAGGTGGTTGGGACCAAAGGGCGAATGGGTCTGTTCAATACATGCGATACAACAGTCAGAAGACAAACTTTGGTCATCAGGATAGCACCAATTGATACCTTATGTTAATATTTCATGACAAAACCAATCAATGTAGTCACACACACACCTACTGTTTAAAACGATAGCAAATGACATACTAGATGCATCCCTAGTTCTTATAAGCGTACTCTTTGATCAAAAGTGGGATATGATTGCTAGAGTAAAAATAATAAAACTGTCTATTCAAAAATACTAGAATATTTACTATGTCACTGAAGTTGAACAGTGGATGCGTAGTTAGCGCACTCAACTTTTGGCTACTGAGTCCCAAGTTTAAACCCTGCTTCGCTTAGCTCGGTTTGAACAATTGGGTAGTATCGTTAGCCCTACACTTGTAACGTGGCTTATACCCAAGAGCAAACAGCATGAGTTAGTTTTCTTATTTATTAAAGTCTCCGTATCCGAATTTAGACATTTGCATCTCGACTTGTCATCCATATTTGAGACCACAAAAGTTGGTTTATCGAAACACAATCTTTTTTAACCAGAACCGTAATGAAACCATTCTTCTTCTATCCAAAATCATTTGTGTACATAGATAACATCGGATTATGGAGTTAAGACGTCGACGAAACGTTTTCTAGATGCTCTGAACAATAACTAAGAATCAGTGTGGGGGATTTGTGCAGATGGTGATATTTTCACAATTGAGATCACGAGCCGACCTAAGTTTCCATCGATGATGGTCTAGCTTACATCGACTCGTGATTACAACTGTGACGTTAATCAGGAAGTATTGTGATTGGCTTTCTTGTATCAACAACTATTTCAACAAAAAGGACTGAAACAGGTTTACACTTTGAATCTATTTAACTATATGTTTGTATTCAATTCAATGCTGTGAACAGAATGCTTAGATTATAGGTTGGTCGAAACAGAACTTGGGTCACTTCCTTTCCTTACGACCAGATATCATGACTGATTGGTTTGAATGAAGTAGAAACCTTGACAGTGACGTAATCATTATATCTGAATGAAAGTATGGAGCACTGAAACATGTACAGACCAACAGATATAATTCACAATAAAAGACTGGACCAGTACTTATTAGTAACACAAACCTCCAGTTGTTATCCATGTTTTTCAATCATGAGTTTTTGAGTAACTCGTTGGCCTCAATATGAAGTATAAAATTCCGAGACTTCGTAAGTTGGTACTACGTTAATGCTATAAAAGTAGGATGTTTCCTATTTTACTTTACATTAGTTAACGTCTTACGTTGAATTGTTTTGACTAGCCATGTGTAACGAATGTTTTCATCTAAATAGACACAGGTTCATAAATAATTACATATCACAAGGATAATAGATAAAAAAAATAGGTTAACTGTGATAGTAATCATACCAGTAGTTATACAACTAACCTGGGCGTTTATTTCCTGTTGTGACAGGAGTTGACGGTGGAGGCATAGGAGTGTCAGTTGAACTGACTACCAAGGTATCAGACTTGGTTGACTCAGTCTGATCGTTTTCCACGGATGTATTTAGGGTAGGGGCATTGTTCTCTTTACTTTCCCAAGGTGAATCTGTTCATTACTAGATCTTGTTGGTTCAGTTCCAGGAGGGAGAAGATTATTTGAATTAATTGGAGCACCAGGAATAAATGTTTTAACAATACCAGCAGCAGGAACTGAGTTTTCTACACGATTAGCATTAGCTTTCTGATATGGTGCTTTTACATTATTTACGCTGTTTGATAAGGCAGGAAGACGTTTAAACATTGATCGAGCTAGTTTACGTTCAGCTTGGGTAACACGACGATAGTCTAAAAAGCGAAGCTAAGAATGGAAGAAGAGAAAACGTATAGCGACAATCTTTTCAAGGATTGTATTTTCAAACACTGGATAACTTGAACACACTCAGAATATTAAAGAAACAACAATAACAATGTGTGGATGATACAGTGTTACCTTTACATTAAATCAAATAAATAAAATGCCAAGCGAAGCGTAGAGAGGATGATGACATATTACATACCCAACCATTAAAATTCGTATTACGAAAAGTTATACACAGTTCCAAGCTTAATATGTAGGGTTAGATTACACGTTTGGTAAAAGCAACATCTTAAAAATGATTATAGAGTACTTGGCAATAGTATATTTGAAATAAATTCTTGGATATAATCGTATTCACTCAGTTCAATGCAATCTATGTATGTATTATAATGAAACTGTTTAAATAAACTGCAATGCATGTGACAGAAAAAAATATTACGGAAGTTTTAAGTGGTCTACACATCGGTAACACTGCTGCTTTGAAAAACAGATCAATACTACTAGTTAAGGCTAAGTATTCTAGATATCTGATAACCAAATATTCAGCTGTAAATTAAAACTAATCTCAATGAATTGATATTTGTGAATAAAAAAACACGATTGATTCTCTAGAAGATACGTACTAAATAATTAAAAAATAGAATTTGTGCAACTCGGGCCAGGCTCTAAACACATTTTGAGTAACCCAGTGATTGGACATTAACTTATACGTTACAGAATGAATAATCTTTTTGTAGGTACATTTATACGTGTATTCCAAAATTATAAACATATATTGAAATAAACAGGCTACAGTTCACATAACGATAATTTAATTTACAGCCAAAAATACATGAGTTCACGATTATGACAGTATTTTACAAAACTATGAAAAACAGGTCCAGTAAGACTACTTAAACTATTTAACTTACAGATGCAACGCGGCTGATAACATATAAACGGTAATTTGCTCGCATTGTTACAGGACAATGAAGAAGACTCAGAAAATTTAATTTCTCACATGATGATAGAGGATCCAAATCTTTGAGGTCAGAAAGATAATTACTGGTTAGGATAAGGGTCAAGAGATTGGGTAAATGTTGACCCAAGTCCTCGGCGATACGGGCAATCTAAAAGTCATAATAAAAACAAACAAAAAGTTCATAAAACCTTGGCGATTTTTCTATGATGAAAGTAAAGCACGTGACTAGAGGGTAGGAACATGGATTCTATAACTGCAAGATCAAAATTGAACATCAGACTGAAACTTTAACTTTTGAATTGTATTACCACGGTATGTTGACTTTATACAACTAACTAAACCTTTGTTCACGTCGTATTATTGGAAGTCAAACAGAAGACAACTAACAAATAAAAATAAACATGAGTTGTGTGGTTTGTCTTTAAAGGTGAGCATTTTCAGTATTGTATTATTTTTGACAAATATGAAATATTCATACTATAACTAGATACACACACCTAAGTTATGGTATCACTTTCTAAGCAAATGTATGATGATAAAGTATGAGAAGCGTTTTTACCATTATTTAGTTTACGTATCCAAAATGCTGTAACAAAGATTCCAAATACTTGCAGTGCATTCGGTGCACCTTTCACCTGACACGGCTCACACTAAGAGTGACTTTGTAGATGGATTTTACGTCGTTTTTTCTCGCATCTTAGGAGTATTAGCACCGACCTTTAAGCTGATCAACATAACGGATGTTGAGGTGAATTATGATTGGAAATGCAACGTATTTTACTGCCGAAACCCATAATATGAAATACTAATTATTCTTGTATACAATTATACCATATACAAACTGTAGACAATATGAATGTACCATATGTGTACTGCTATAGTAACGTGGGATAGAATATACAGTTTTATGCATTTGATAACTGTTCCACATAATAACCAGTATAGCGCACTATTATGAAATAAGTTCGTCATTTGACGGATTTTGATAACTTTTAAGGCTCATATACACGTCATAAACAGTAAACACTGTCTTCTTCTTTAACATCTGGATGACAATTGAAATAACAGATGGTAAGATCTTTAATATTAACGAAGTAGTCAATATGTTGATTGTTGAATTGGAGATCAATTTGGGCAAGTTATCAAGCAACTCTTGGATTTTGGCGCGAAATTCAATCGTCTATTTGGCTAAATAGATTGATGGCATTATAGCTGATGTCAGTTTGTGATGAAAACCTGAGATCTAATTCCTAGCCTTAACTATCAACTGTAAATTACAGTTCAAATTCCTCACACAGGTTTATAACCCTCATTTGGTCCAGGTTATCAACTAGACGCTCATAAGGTTAGTTTGGCGTCGCTCAAAGGTCGTCCATAAATTAGTCTCACCAAAAACTGGACCAATTATTGGCATAAACAGACACTGATCACACCGAGAACTAAATCAAACGCCAATGTCGAATCTTTTGTGTAGAAGAATAGGATGTACCATGTTTGAATGACGACTGACGGTTTCAATATGCATCTATCAAAGTAGACGGGATCCCCTCAGAGGCAGAGAGTCATATTTTCTAGGAGTATTTGCACAGTTTAAGGATTGACGGTAATTGGTGACACAACGGACTTAAAGAGGGTGTGTGGAAGCGGTATACAAGAAAGAAGTTAGGAGGCGATAGATGAGAAATCTGACAGCGAAAACACCACTAGCAAAAGTTTCTTATTTAGCTGATACATTGTTGATATATTCAAAACCAGATTGGACCTCAAGTGTTAAACTGCAAGGATTAATATAGGTTGATAGACCTATCCTTATTACTGAAGACTGGTGTGCAAACAACTAAAACTGTTTAGATAGGACGTAGGTGACGTTTGATACGAATCACCTACTACTAAGGGTTAGATGAGTAAATCGGGTTCAACATTAATAGGTGTTTAATTATATGAGAGTGGAGAAAACACTCATAATTGGTACGATTGAAGTACATCCAGAAATAAAGAGGGTACATAAGTGATTTAAGTTCAGAATCAGATTTAACAATAGAAAGTTTACCTTGTTGTTTGTAAGTATTAATGACTTTAGACGTTTTAACATTGGAAATCCGTCGAGTTTTCTGATCTCATTATCTGAAAGATCAATAGTATCGAACTGATCCAATGTACATCCCATATTTTCGATCGCAGGAAACTTGTAACTTCTGAGACTAAGCTCACGATCCTTAATGGCGTTGGTAAACTGTGGAGCATTCTCAACTATTTCAGATGTTATCCTGACCATAATGAACTAACATGCGCTACAAAAACTCTTTCGAAGAAACCGGCGCCCCCAATTTATAGGTTCAAACAAAAGATCTGATATCTAATATCTTGGTCAAAGATAGTAACTACACGGTGACTCATTAGTGTTCATTTCACGGTGTTCCGTAAATTTCTAATTTCCTTTGGATGCATTATTCTGTGATTTCTCCAGAAAGTTGACTCTACGTTATATTTAAGTCAAGCAATTGAATTTACTTTAAAGCTACTGTCTCGATGAAATCAGGGGTCTTTAAGCTGATAGTCAAATTTCAGGGAGTTGTGTCCAGCCAGAAGGTACTTTCTGTACTAACTGAGTAAGCGGAGTGAAGAGTGAAGAGATCTAGAAAAATGAAGAACAGGAGGAAAGATAAGCCGAAAACATGACAAGGGCATAAATACACTTACTTCTAATGAAGAAAAAAACAAATAATAAATAACGGTAGCACAGGCTTCAGATTACAAAAATCTGGGAATGGAGACTAGAGGCAGATAGTTCTTCCCACTACCCAGGTTTTTGGCTGGATTAGTGAACACTTTATTGGTGGAGTAGAGGTAGAAAGTTGAGAAAACAAAAGAAATAAGTTACAGAAAACCTCTAAAAATGGCATGCAAGTTATTTTTGCAATGAAAACAGACTTGTGTTACACTTACCATTCCTGTAGAAGACCCTACTCCCAATAACATTCCAATTTATTAGGGAGAATGGATAACAAATGTGCTGCAGTTGTGTTGAAAGATATAGTTCAATTTGTACGGTGATTTTTGACACCCTGCAGAAAGTGTGTTACTATATTTCGAATTGTAAGGATTCTGAAATCCGCATGACTTAAATAACTTTTGTTTAGATTGTCATATTAGTTATAGATCTAACATTTGTGACTTTGATCTGCCGAAGTCGGTTAAGACCTAACAGAAAAATTCGTAAGCACATGGTGAACGATACTAGTGTGAAGAAACGCATGACTGTGACCATTTAAGTTTCAGAGAGAAACTGACCGAAAGCACACGATAAAGCCTTAGCACTATTTCCGGCAGCTCAACATGTACATGGGTTACTTATGCGCATGCTCTACTGTCAAACCAGCTTATTAGAAGCTTAATGTCCGTTTCCTCAAGATTCACGAATCAAGCTTTCTATAGAGACGGAAACCGTTCTCCCGTTCTAGCTTGCACCATTATTTGTGTGTGTGTGAACCAAAAAAATATTAAGTTCGGACAAGCACTTGGTAGTGTAGATCTTTGCATATAACTTTCCTTAACCATACAGGGATTTCCTGGGAATCGAATAGGTACGTCACATCTAATTTTTAGCAAGGGCGTTTTGGAATAATCTAATTGTTTCTGAACTCTAGCAAACTTTGTTTTGTAGTCGAAATGTTTCTCCTTAAAATGGAACTATAGTCTATATTCGTTATTAGAACATTTATATTTGCTCCTACAATAAGAGGCCTAAGTCTAAAACTCTAGTTAGTCATGATAAGAAAACCTAACTTATGAGATCTTTCCTGGAAATCACATAATTGTCTACACTGCAATAAATTTAACACAGAGTGACCACGCCTACATGGCCGAGCCATACTATTTAGAATAATCCGATTGCTCTCGCGTTCACCATCAACAATCTTCTCCAAGTGTTACATGCTGAATGTGAATCGTCTCATGAATTATACGCTCGGCTTCAAAAATCATGTGGTTTGGACCAACACTGATACAAGTTGGCAATTTTTCGAAATAGATTATTTGAAATATTTTTTTCTTTACGGTATACTAATACAATACGTTAACAAGCCATTGAATCAAGTTATGTTAGATACACGCTCCACGAACTAGGGGAGAGAATCAAGACGAGTGCTGGTTAACACTTGGTTCCACACAAGGAGAGACAGTCCGTCACAGTGATTCCATAGTAGGAATAAATGAAGGAAAAGGAAGTCGTACATTCATTGATCAGTAGGCTGTGCCGGTTTGTCCACACTTGACGACTAACCATATTTTACCCTCACCATCGCACATCACTTTCTTAAATATATGTTACTGTAATGTGTACCAAAATGTAGTAGGACTATAGTTTCAAACGACCTTTGGTCGACGCCTTAGTGACCTACTTTCTAAGGCTAAATAAAAGTTATAAGACAGTTTGAAGAATAAGAACCATTATTTACAGTTTATGGTTAAAGTTGGGAGTTAGATTTATGGTTTTCATGATGGACTGAAATCAGATAAAATGACGAAACCTGATTTAGATAAATAGGTGAATGAATATCGCACCAAAATCCGAGACCTGTCATCCTAAATCTCGTTGCCTCGTCTACAAGTTATAGTCTTGCTTAAAATGCTACTCGAAACTGTCGAAGAATTTTGGTGAATCTTTCTTGAGTGTTTATGTATGAATAGGTTTGCACGTGGGCGAATATCCTCCTGTATATGTATTGTGTAACAACAACTCCCACTCTCATTTCTAAATGTAAGATCATTGTTTCCCTCAATACCTTTAACAGTGTAATCTGTTTGTTCCTCGCTTCGAACGAGACTACGGTTTATTTTTTTCCTACCTCTTGTCTTTTTTATATAGGTTGGTGCATGACCACATACTATATTGTCTTTGAAGTCTCACAGCAGGTTAGGGTTGAATTGCATCACGTCTGGCTATAGAGACTCACGTGCAATTGAGTTTAGTTCAGTCAAGGTCTTTTGTTGACCTATTTAATGGACAAAGTCATCCATGATATAACAACTTGTTGTATTATCTTTATTATTATGCTTGTATGAAATACATATGCTTGAACATTGTTTAGCGCCTACGCATGTATTCATTCTGCTAGCTTCATTATTAACTGCTTAATCTATTCGCTGACTCATCCATTTTCCTATACATATATATATGTGTACATTTGCATGCATTCACTACTTCCACTACTACTACTACTACAACTACTTGCTACTGCTACAATCGTAGTTCGCTTGCTCATTCATTTTGCCTCTCTGCTGTCTGGTCCGAATTATCTACTAAATAAACTGTAGTAGCTGCTTCTATTTGCCTTCTGATTTCAAACATCGTTGAAGATTATACGATAACGGTTCGAGGGTGATTAATTAACGAAGCACAGCCACTACAGAATTGGTAATCCCGACGTGAGAACGGGAAGCGAATCTTGACGAAATAATCAAATTCCAAAAATTCGACTACCTTCATCTCAATTTGGATTATAAAATGAACTATAATTACAACTGTGGATTTATATTATTATTTTAATTACACTTACATTATTTCGCAAACATTATAAACGTGACAATTATAATCATAATAAATAACAATTATTCATAAACAATTGATATATTGGTGCAATTTAGTAAGTCTGTTCCATTTTATAAATTGTGCCATTTTTTTATTATCATTGTTTTCACCCGTCTATTTTTCCTTGTGATTGTTAAAGTATTTTCGTGTGCTACTTAATTTTTATAAGCATGTCTTATGAAAACACAGTTTCAAGCGTACAGCAAGCCTCGTCCGTGAGGTCTCTTAACCTCCCTGCCCCTTCTTTTAAAATCGCAGACCCAAAACTTTGGTTTATAAGACTTGAAAATTATTTTCTCGCTAACCGCATTCTTTTGCAAAAGGATAAGTTCGGCCTGACAAGCACACTACTCCCAGACGAAGTAGCTGACAGCGTTCGAGAGGCACTAGCAAAACCAGACACAGAAAAACCATACGACGTGCTAAAAGAGGCTGTAATTAAAACTCTCTCTCTCAGTGACCAACAAGCCGTCGAACAACTTCTTAACCAAGTACAAATGGAGATAGAACCCCATCACAACTAAAAAATTATATGAAAAGTTTACTTGGCGATAGACACATTGACAATAATCTCTTTTATCAACTGTGGCTCCGCCGACTCCCTGCAAATATACAGCAGATCCTAGCTGTGGGAGATACGGATGCTGATTTAGACAATATAGCAAAGATAGCCGATAGAATATACGAAAGAAGCAAGCAAGCAAGCCCTCCACTACACAATGTGACGGTAGACGATAGACTTGATACTCTACAGAAGGAAATAAATGTTTTGTGCCGAAAACTCTCAGAGTTAACGCAGAGAGAAAAGCCACGAAGGTCATCGCGAGATCGTTCGCGTGAAAGGACCCGGTCAACTTCTAGACGACGCACAACTCCCGCGATATGTTGGTATCATCAAATGTTCGGCTACAGGGCCAGAAAGTGCCTACAACCTTGTAGATTTAACAGGAATAGTAACCGATACCCACGAGTATCAATGGCAACAGCATCAACACACATAATGCCTGAAAATAGTCGCCTCTTTTATATACAAGACCGGACCACTGGCGCACAATTCTTAGTTGACACTGGAGCGGAAATTAGCGTAGTACCTCCATTTAACGAGGAAAGAAAAAACATTAACCCGTCGTTAGTGCTAAGAGCAGCAAACAAATCAGATATTAAGACATATGGTAAACGGAAATTGTCCCTAGATTTTGGACGTGGCGCTTCATACCGTTGGAACTTTGTCATAGCAGACGTATCGATGCCCATAATAGGCATAGATTTCTTATGTAACTTTGACCTGCTAGTAGACTCTAGACGACACAGACTTATAAACGGCAGTCAAACCACTTCGATAAGAGGAATACTTACGGAAGCCGTTTCAATGAACCTTGTGATAGATAAAAGTTGTGGTGATCCATATAAATTGTTGCTAAGGGAGTTCCCTGAACTCGTAAAAGTAACATACAATAAAGCGGATCTCAAACATTCTATTCAGCATCACATCGTAACGAATGGTCCACCAATCAATGCAAGACCAAGAAGGTTAGATCCTAAAAGACTAGCCATCGCAAAACAGGAATTCGACAAGCTAAACGAAGTGGCAGACGCGCTATCTAGAACGATGGTCAACGCTCTCGTCCAGTCCGAAATCGATTATCACAAGTTAGCAGCATTACAAAATATCGACGTCGAGTTAAACAGACTAAAGTCTGCCAACACAACCTCGTTAGTTCTCAAAGAAACTCCATTGGAAGA